CAGGAGGGTCCCAGGCCTGTGGCTGTGCTGCGGAGCACCCACCTGGGGAGAGCCTGCGACAGGCCACTCTGCACTCTCGCTGTGGGTCAGGGCTTTGCTGACAGCTTATGTGATTATTCAACTAAGTCTTTATGCCAGCATGTATAGTAGTATTTTCATTCTTCTTGGGAACTAAAACTTAGAGTAAGTGAATTTTTAAATATCTTTATAAGTAAATATGGTTTATGCTAAGTAAATATTTTTTGTTTTCATTAGCTACCAGGAGACATAGAGGCAAATCTGTTACTCAAGCCAAGTCATTGGCTAAATCACCTCATTCCTTTGGGTGGATTGTGGAGCTTCAGCAGCATGTCCTGTGGTCTCTTGGCTTGGGACCTGTCAGCCACCTAAGTTTATGTAGAAGGGAATAGAAAAGAAAATTCTAAATATATATATATATATATATTTAAGTGCTAGCCTGATGAATTAGTCTTCTGTATATTTACCTATTTTTTCCAACTTGTTAATAGCTCTGTTGAGTAATTCTTACATCATACAATTCACCCATTTGAAATACACAGTGCAGTAGTTTTAGTATGTTCACACAGTTGTGCAAACATAGCCACAGTCACTTTCCCATGTTATCCTTGATAGTCAACCTGAGAAGTAGCCATCAACCTATCTGCTCCTAAGGTGACATGTGGGCAGCTGCTTTTCTTGCCTGGGGTTCCTCGATTCCTGCCACTCTGGGTACAGGCCTCTCTCCCTGGGCTGAGCTGCATTCAGGATTATACTGAGCAGGACTTGCACCTCTTTCCCACTCCAGTTCCAGCTAAGTGAAAAGCTGGGGTTTCTGACTTGTTTTTGATACAGTACTTTTTTTAAATCTATTTTCAGAATTATGTCAAGAAGCATCAGTAATCAGCCTTACCCTCTAGGAGAGTGCCCAGCTTCTTTTGGGTCCACCTCCCCAGGCCATGAAGATGAGATCTTACCTTTGACATTACCATGCAGATTGCCTTTCCCCAAGCAGAGATTTCAGAACTGACCTGTGTAAGGGTCTGGACAAGAAATGTCAGCTAAGCCCTCCCTTGGTGGTTCGCTTCCACTGATGTTAGCTGTAGTTCCTGAGGGTCTTGGAAAGGTCAAGAGGATTGTGGGCTTTAGGGGTTCCATAGCTTGGGATCAGGGAATCTGTTGGAGAAATTCAGAACCTTTTGAGCTCTGTCCCTGGCTCACTACATCACACTGCTCATCCTGACTGCACGTTTCTGCTGAAACAGCTGGGTCTGACTGGGCAGGAGAGCAAGACTCACATAGCTGCCGTTCTCTTTGCTCTACCTGAGCTTATCCCTACCCTTCCTGTAGGCTCCTTCCATGCCCCAGCCCTGAGATTTTCCTTTCCCAGAGGACAGAAAGGCAGAAGTCAAGCTCCCTCCTCCTCCCCTGCAGCAGGAGATAGCAGGAGGGGAGGAACCTGGGCTCTGAAGAGAGTGAACACTTCCTTCCTGGCCCACTAGCCCTTTTGCCACAGATGACCACTGAGAACATGTGACCATGTAGACTGACAGATATGACTTCTGTCAGCAGTGAAGGAAGAGACAGACTTTGGAGGTTGAGAGAGAATCATCAGGTTACCTGAAATTGGGTTTGGGATCGGGATCATTTTTTTTAAATTTTTTTTTCTTTTTATTGAGGTTATTGGCACAATCTAGGTATACAATACAATTACATTCATCATTGGGATTCTGTACCTTTACATAATAGGTCTTGATTCTCATTTTTCCCCTTGTCCCTGCCCTCCCTTCACCCCCCTCCCCTCCCCATTTACAAACACTTTATTTCCATTTTTTCAGTTTCTCATATTTTTTTCCTCTCCCTTATTACCTCTCCCCCACCCTTCCCACTTTCCTTACACCTTTAGCCCTTTACTTCCTATTTCATATTATTAATTGTCTCATTAGGATCCTGTGTACTATTATAGTTTTTCACACCAAAGAAACTATTCAGTATTTCAATTAAAGAAATCTCTGTATGAACATTAAAAATAGGGAATCCTAAAATCAAACTAAAAAGGAAAGTAAAAGAGAAAAGGCAATGATGTAACATCAAAATAATCCTTAATTCTGGAGATGAAAATGGTCCCTGAACATATTTAAATTGCTTCTCGCTCTTATAGTGTTATCTTATTCTTTTTTCATTATTTAGAGAATACTTTATTAGTTTCTGTAATCAAACCCACGTAGATATGACCTTACATATTTAGTACGATGTGTTACCCCTGTACACAGGGAAAAAAAATAAAAATAAATTAACATTTCTAGACCAATATGGTTGTCCATTTCTGTACAATGCCAAGTCAACACAGTAAATTGGGATGACTTTTTCCAAAGTTGGCAGCACCGTTAAACTTTCCCAAAATTCAATTTATATATGTGTGTGTGTGTGTGTGTGTGTGTGTGTGTGTATGTATAAAGACTAATAATAGTATGTTATGCATCGATAGCAGCAACAGCTTTTCCAGGTTCTGCAGTCATCTGAACAAAATTATAGACATTCAGCACATTCCATAAAAAAAAAAAAAAAAACAAAGAAAAGAATAATATCCAGACAACAGCAAAGTTCTGTTGCTGTTGTGGTACCTGGCACCATTTTTTCTATTAGCCTCTTAATCATCATCTGGAAAGAGAACATTCTAGAGTAATATCATTAAATGTAGCTCTGATAAAGCACGGTCCCTACTATGTATCATAAAGCAGGTACTAGATATTTTACATTCATAGAGGTATGATACAGTACTGTCCTACATCAATAATACTAGATTCAGTTTTGGTTTGAAATTTACTTTGTCTGCAAATAAGATTGCTACCCCTGTTTTTTTCTGGGCTCCTGTCACATGGAGAATTGTTTTCTATCTTTTCACTTTCAGTCTATGGGCTTCTTTTTGCACTAGGTGTGTTTCTTGTATACAACATATTGTTGGATTTTGCTTCTTATTCCATTTTGCCAGTCTATTTCTCTTGATTGGTGAGTTGAGGCCATTGACATTGCTGGTTATAACTGATATGTACTGACTTATTATTGACATGTTATTGGCCTTTTGTTGACTCTTTTTACTTTTTCACCTTCTCCTTTTAATTTCTTGCCTTGCCTATTTGATTTGCTCTGTTGGGCCTCATGGTGTTGTTGCCTTCATTGTCTTTTTGTAGGATCTTGTTTAGAATTGCTTGTAGTGCTGGTTTGGTATTCATGTAGTTTCTCAGGTGTTCTTTGTCATGGAAGTGTCTTATTTCCCCATCCATTTTGAAAGAGAGTTTTGCTGGATTCATCAGTCTGGGTTGGAGGTTGTTCTCTTTTAGTACTTGACATATCTCATTTCAGGCTCTCCTTGCCCCAAGGGTTTGTGTTGAAAAGTCTGCTGTGATTCTGATGGGCTTTCCTTTGTATGTGATTTGTTTCTTTTCTCTTACTGCTTGTAGTATTTTGTTCTTCTGTTGGGTTTCTGGGATCTTGATTATTATATGTCTAGGTGTAGATTTTTTTTGATTGTAGCTAGTTGGGGTCCTATATGCCTCAGTTATCTG